ACGTCCACTGTTATCTTATTGCTTTTGAGAGCTTACAAAGAACAATATAATTCCTAGGAAAATTTGTTTAGAACAATTACCCAGCCCCCTGAAAACAAATTATGATGGGTTTATATAGCACCCATTTATATGATAGAGTTGAGATAAGATTCAAATACGTAGAATTAGGAAGTTGCATGATCTTTGGCTACCTTAATTGGAGTCTAAGTCAATCTGAATATCTTCTTTCTAAATTGAGTCAATCTAAATATCTTGTCTCCTAATAAGAAATTATCCTCTCCAGATTTCACGCACAATAATAGCCCCCTAGTTTTTGGAGTGCGTAATCGCGCTTAAAAAACTCATGTCTTTGATTTGGATAACCAAACACGAACGAACACCTCTGTTCAAAACTCATTTGATAAGCACAAAGGGGTGTTCGAAATCGTGTTCGAACTCGAACGAACACTGAATGGCTGTTCGAGTTCGTTCGATTAACCAAACGAGCAGTTCGTGATCGTTCGATTAATCGTTCAATTAACTCGTTCGAATAACTTGTAAATATCTGTTTGAATAACTCGTTTGAATAACCTAGTGCTCTTGAGTTCGTTCGATTAACCAAATTAGGACTGTGACTGAATTGGATTTGGATTTTGGGCCGGGTAAGGGAAAATGTGGAATTGAATTTGAATTTTTGTTTTAAAATTTGGGCTGGCCGGGTTAGTTTGTTGGTTATTAGGTTATATATATAAAATTATTACCATACATATATTAATCATAGATTAAATATGTTTAATATGTTATTAAATTACTAAAATTATAGGTTATCATACATATATTATCATTACATAAATTATCATAAATAATTTAAATATATATTTTGTATTAACACCCATAAATTCATAGTAGAATAAAGGTCTATTGTAATTTAAATATATATATATTTTATCATTACTGTTTATTGGATTTGGATTTTGGGCCGGGTAAGGGAAAATGTGGAATTGAGTTTGGATTTTTGTTTTAAAATTTGGGCTGGTCGGGTTAGTTTGTTGGTTATTGGGTTATATATATAAAATTATTATCATACATATATTAATCATAGATTAAATATGTTTACTATGTTATTAAATTACCAAAATTATAGGTTATATATATATCTATATATATAGAAATAATATATATATATATATATATATATATATATATATATATATATTGTGTATATACAAAATTATTATCATACATATATTAATCATAGATTGAATATGTTTAATATGTTATTAAATTATTAAAATTATAGGTTATCATATATATATTATCATTACATAAATAATTTAAATATATATTTTGTATTAACACCCATAAATTCATAGTAGAATGAAGGTCTATTGTAATTTAAATATATATATATATTTTATCATTACTGTTTACATATATATTTTGTATCAACACCCATAAATTCATAGTGGTATGAGGGTCTATTGTAATATATGATCAATACATATATGTGATTAATTTGTTATATATATATATTATCATTACTGTCTACATATATATTTTGTATCAATACCCATAAATTTATAGTGGTATGAAGGTCTATTGTAATATATGATCAATACAAATGTGTGATTAATTTAGGTTTAATTAAGCTATTATGTTATTAAATTTGTCATACTATATATCACTTGATTATACAATATGTTATGTTCATAAAATTGTTATACTATATTTAATTAAGTTATTATATTATTAAATTTGTGATGCTATATATCACTTGATTATACAATATATTATGTTCATCAATTTACCATACTATATTTAATTAAACTATTATGTTATTAAATTTGTCATGTTATACATCACTTGATTATACAATATGTTATGTTCAACAATTTACCATATTATATTTATTATTTATTAATTGAAATGCTATCTCATAATATTTAATTATTGATTACATTTGGAAAAATATGAAGCTTTTATGTTATTAGATTTGCTATGTTATATATAACTTGATTATACAATCTATTATGTTATTAAATTTGTCATGCTATGTATCATAATAACTTATTATTTTTTAATTAAAATGCTATATACTTATATATTTAATTATTGATGACATTTGAAAAAAAAAAATTCCAAACATATTATATATATAAGAAAAACAAAAGAATCACAATATTTTATTATTGATTACCATTAAAAAAAATTCATCCAAACTAAATCAAACATAATATAAAAAAGAAAAAAAAATGAATATATATAATAATGTATACCATGTTTTTCGAACATAAACGAATAGATTGTTCGCGAACGGATCGATCAGTTGAACGCAGTGTCTTCGCGAACATAATCGAACGAACATCCTATGTTCGATCTCAAATCGAACAAATTATCAAACGAACATCGAACTGTTCGCGAACAATTTGTTATTGAGTTGAATCGAATAGTTATCGAATGAACATCGAGCTATTCGCGAACAGTTCGATTCGTTTGCAGCTCTAGATTTGGATGGATGTTGCACTATATGCTGCAGTCTCGAACTGAAGAGCTTGAATTATGCCTGGTGCAATCTAAGAGATATGAGAGATCTTGAACACCTGATCACAAGTGAATGAGCGAGCTTATGAGCTCAATCAGAGAGCATAAAGAGTTCGATCTGAGAACATAAAGAGCTCTATTAGAAAGCATAAAGTGCTCGATCTGAGAGGGCAAAGAATTCGATTAGAAAGCGCGAAGAGCTTGATTTGAAAGCATAGCTCGATAAAAAAGCAAGGAGAGCTTAATCTAAGAACATAGCTCGATCAGAAAGCATAAAGGGCTCGATCTGAGAGCATAACTTGATCAGAAAGCATGGAGGGCTCGATCTGAGAGCATAGCTTGATCAGAAAGCATGGAGGGCAGGCTTGATCTGAGAGCATAGGTCGATCAGAAAGCATGGAGGGCGAGCTCGATCTGAGAGCATAACTCAATCAGAAAGCATAGAGGGCTCGATCTGAGAGTTTGGCTTGATCTGAGAGCTTAGCTAGATCAGAAAGTATGGAGAACTTGATTAGAAAGTATGGAGAGCTTGATCTGAGAGCATTGCTCGATCAGAAAGCATGGAGAGCTTGATCTAAGAGTATAGCTCGATCAGAAAGCATGGAATGCTTGATCTGACAGCATAGCTCGATCAAAAAGTATGGAGAGCTTGATCTGAGAGCATAGCTCGATCAGAAAGCATGGAAAGCTAGAGAGCTAGCTTGAGAGCTCGATAGCTTGGGAGCTAGAGAGCTAGAGAGCTTGAAAGCTAAAGAGCTAGCTTGGGAGCTAGAGAGCTAGAGAGTTAGCTTGAGAGCTCGATAGCTTGGGAGCTTGAGAGCTTGAGAGCTAGAGAGCTAGAGCTCGTGAGCTCTTTCTAATCTAAGAGATTTGAGCGATTTGGCCACATGATCTGAGAGCTCTAATTTGGAACATGCTTCAGTATTTTGATGATAACTTGAGTTGCAGACCTCAAATTTGGATGATTCTTAGACCGTTGGAAAGCTAACTCAAAGGGATAAAATTCTTGTGTTTACCGCTTAGCAAGGTTCAGACTTGATCCTGCTTAAATTTTCACATTTGATAACGTGATTCTAGAAAAAGAAGCTGAGATTTGCTGAAGAAGTTGAGACCTACTGGAAAAACATGGAGAGCTGATGTGAATCAGACCCTCCTTCTAACGCCAAAATGTTGATATAGAAATCTGCACCAACCAGAGAATTCCGATTAACCTAGCCAGAACCGAAATGGATATGCGCGTGATTATAGATAACAAGTAGTGGATGAATAATAAATGCAATAAAGTAAATGGCAAAGAGATTTTTAAAGTGGTTCGGTAAGTTAGAACTTCAGCCTACGTCTACTGTTATCTTATTACTTTTGAGAGTTTATAAAGAACAGTATAATTTTTAGGAAAAAAAATTTAGAACAATTGCCCATCCCCCTGAAAACAAGTTATGATGAGTTTATATAACAGTCATTTACATGATATAGTTGAGATAAGATTCAAATATGTAGAATTAGGAAGTTGTATGATCTTCGGCTACCTTAGTTGGAGTCTAAGTAATATTTTCCTTCCAAATTGAGCCAATCTAAATATCTTCTCTTCTAATAAGGAATTATCCTCTCCGGATTTCACACACAACAAAAATAATCTGACTAATTACCAATACACAAAATAATAATTAAAATTGGAGTGAATAAATTTTTTAAAAATAACTTGAGACTTTAGGAGTCTAGGTGAATCACAGTCCAAATTTTTATTTCCTAAATGGTCACAATCAATAGTGGGGATAAGATATGTGGTCATAATATTAGATTGAGGAAGACATTCATTCAACCGTAAAACCTCGTACCGAAAATTAATTAATCGGCCATAACAATTAATTCTTTATTATTCCACTTCCACCTAAATCCTAATCAAATTCTCTTAGCGGTCCAAATCCCCCACATTACAAAATTAACAAAGGCCTGGCCCACTGTGTGCCCACATTGGCGTGTTAAATGTTAATGAATACCATGTGAAGCAACTCTCACATTTCCCCACATAATCTTAGGAGAATATAAGAAATTATTTTATTTGAAAGAATTTTTTGGATTTGAAGATTAGGAAAATAAAATTAATAAATTTACATTTATTTCATTCTCATTATTTTAAAATTAATTTTAGAATATATTAAATATATTTTGAAATATTAACTCATTTTATATTGTATAAAATAAACCCTTAAAACTCTTTTATTCATCTGTTTAATCAGCTAATTAAGAGATAACATTTTTTCTAAAATTGAAAATCATATTGGATAGATATATGATATATCAATTGAAACTCTTTTATTAAAAAATCTGATTTTAAACCTTTTTTTCACTGAAAAAAGATTAAAAAAATGATAATAATTAAAGAGAGAGAGAAAAAAAAAAAAAAAAAAACTGATACATACGAGAAACGCGACAAATGGACGTAACAGGACAGAGTGAGTCACCAGAGAGAAGCAAACGAAATTGAAGGAAAGATACTTTGGCCGTCAAGTAACGTTTCTCTCTGTCACTCTCACTTTCTCGATCAGTGTCTACTTGCTGTCGGAAGCCACTCCACACTGACACCACACTCACTCATCACTAGCCTCGTGACGTCCGTCACTCACCATTTTCATTTTCTCTTAGTTTTGGCCCTTTTAATTGTAATCTTTCACCTCTTCTCTCATTCTGTGGCGTCTCGATGGCGCTTTCTCGCTCACCAGTCGCTGTTCATCAAATGTAATTTGTAAATACAACTAAATTGTTGATATCCGAAATACAATCAAATATATGAGGTACGTCGCTTAATATGTGTTTGGATCGAATGATCTGTAATGCCGTAGTTTAAGTTACAGAATTATTTTTGTTTTTATTTGTTTAATTTTAGCGTTGAATGTTGCTGTTTTATGCTTCTAAACCGTATTGATCTGATATTTTCATTGTGGTTATTTTGTGAAGCTTTGTCGATCGCTTTATTGGTTTTAACATTTAGTTTAAATTTTGACATTATCGTTTCAATGCACGTGCTTATATTCATATTCATATGCACGATGTCAATGTGATACTTGTATATTTGATGGCTTGAATGATTTCATTCAGTTTGGTGCTGTGACCTGTTGAAACAATTAAGATTTCTTGAAGTTCACTTTTGCTTATAATGTTGAATTTCAATGGCGGTCTTTTATCAAGTAAAACGTGTCTAAAGCAGTATTGTTGGTCAGGTAGCTTGACAATTGATTTGTATCATGTTAATGCTTTTTGCACGGGCCACGTCGAGGAACTATGCTGCTTGCAAGTCTTTTTCTTTTTTTTTTTTCCAGAAAAAAAGAAAGAAAAATACAAAGTAATTGATAATTACAAATAAATTGTAACAAACTTGAATTAGTTTTATCATGATAAGTATATACAACTAGGGTATACAGGAATGTACATCCTATAGTTTTTGCCAACTAAATATTTTTAGAACCAAGGTCAAATTATTATTTAATGAAGAGGTTTTTAAGTTTTTACATTGGCCGAAGTTGGGTCAGAATTTTATATTATTTCAAACAAGTTACTACTTTAGATGATGATAGTTTAGATAGGCTTCCAAGTATTAGATGAGTGACTTATGGTAGTTAATTTTTAGGTTTTGAATGACTTATTGTGGACAGTTGTGATGTGTTTTACTTCAGGATTTGAAATAGTTTAAGTAAAAGTGTTTGATTTTCCGGTCCAATTTTGAATCTGTATTTACTCGTTGGCAGACTATATGTTGTCTTTGAATAAGTGAAAATAACGTCCTGGTATCTTACCACCAATATTGATTTTGGGAGTAGACCTTGTTCCATTGCAGCAAACTTGTTTTAAGTTAAAGAATTTGTCTACATTGCAAATGATTACGTATGAGCAAGATCCAGATGTTCTTTGGTGGGGTCTCCAACTGTTCGAAAGTGATCCGTATTATAATTGCGGGTATGGTGACACTACTTCACCAGATGACGTGGACTATTATGATGGACAACATTTCGGGGAAGATCATTATGACACTGAATGTTGCAATGTAGAGTATGATGAGCTTATTGCTCGTGCTCTTCAAGAAGAACTATCACAACTTGCAGTTGTCGAAGTACCTGATTCTCCATGTGGGGATGAAGAGAACTTGCAAGTACCTGATTTTCAAGAAGAGTGGCTTAGCCAGTCTGTGACAAACTATTATTCTGGTAAATGCAAAATATCAAAGTGCAAATCACTCTTGTATACTGTGCTTATCTTGTTCAAAATTTGTAGGCCAGGAGAGTGGCCAGGAAGAGGCAGATGATATACAGCCTTCTAGTTTATGTTCTACCCCCGAAGATGAGTCATACTGTGGAGAGGAGTGGTCATATCCATTAGAGCTGACAGAAGAGTATGGTCTTGATAGTGAAGTCGGGAAAAGGTTGAATCAGATGGTTCCTGTTCCTGTAAGTTTAGCATCTAAGAACTGCTGTTATGCCTTCACATTATTTCCCTGAAAAACTTTAGGTGACTTCTATCTTTATGCATGCTTGGAGTTGAGATAATGTACTCCTGCTAGTCCGTAACTTTTGATTGCTATCGTATGGAAACTTGACATTTAGCATGTTTGCCAAGTTTAATCTTATTGTATAGGTAAGTATTTCAGAACGGTAATTTTATTGTGGATAATTCTATATATATATAATTCAAGATCCTTACAAGTGAAATGGTCAACAAAATTGGTACTAGCATTGCAGGCATGTTGGTTAGGTTGGGCTATGTTTGTTACATACTTTAGCTTCTTCACTTTTGCAGCCTGAAATTGGCTTTTACTCTTTGTTTTTACTTGTCTTCTTTGTTTTCTCATTTGTGCAGCATGTTCCTAGAATTAATGGAGAAATACCATCTATCGATGAAGCAACTTTGGACCACCAAAGGCTATTGGAGAGGTGTCATGTCTTGTTTTTCCACCCATTTACATTTTTGCAGATACTTTCCTTTTTCCTTTTTCTTCTTATTCTCCCTTTTTATCGTAAGATCTTCATCCTTCTAGCTAGGTATTAGGGTGTCATAGGATAATTTTATTTTTTACTGAGCAAAAGCTTTTTCTTCTATAGATTGGAGGTATATGATTTGGTTGAATGCAAAGTTCAAGGAGATGGGAATTGCCAGGTTAGCTTTTTAAGTTCAGCATGTATGTCTTGGTGCGCCTTAGGTTCTGTTTTGCTGTAATGTCTAATTCCTTTAATTATTTGCTAAAATGGAAGTGCAGCACACTGGGTTGATGACTGTTTTCTTCGGTGAAAATGGAAGATCAAATTTGTGTAGCAAACTAGGTTCTCCCTGTCATATGTTTTCTCGCACAGTATCATTTTATCTCACTCGGTTTTGTAAATTGTGCCCTCTTTATGTTTTTTCATGTTTTTGACTGCTTCACTAGCCATTATCAAAATGCTTTCAATTTTTTTCTTCTTATCAATTGTGAAGCTAAGTTGATGAAGAGATCTTCTGTTCAAGTCCCCATTGTAGTAGATGAATTGTATAAGCTTTAAGGATCAGTGGTTTCTCGACAAAAGTTTTACATTATTCTAAGTTAGCATGACATTAGTGAGACCAGATTCTGCATCTTGACTGTAGATACTTTCAAATGTTTTGTTTCTTTTTTTTTTTAGGTAAATTAGGTCTTATTTAACATGCATGTCTGCTGCTGTCTGTGAAATTGTTGTTGTTAACAGACCTTATGCTTTACCAATTGTCTTGAAAAGTCAAACATGTTCCTCAAGAGTTTAATGCTTTTAACTTATCATTAGAGCTCACAAAATATTTACTGTGGCGCTTTTCGTTTCCACTCTAGTAAGAAATAGTATAATTATATTTGCATCAGGAAGAAACAATGTGTTTATATGGTGCTTAAGATCATTTACATATGATTTCTCATTAATTCCATAATGTCACCAGTTTCGCGCTTTATCAGATCAAATTTATCGAACTCCTGAGCACCATGAATTTGTCAGGCAACAAGTTGTAAATCAGGTTGGCTTTTGCTTATTACATTAAATTTGGCAACTTTGTCAGAAGCTTGAGTTCAGAGTATTTGTGGGCGTAATGAATGTGGGGTTTACATAAATTGGTAATTTTTTTTTTTTGTTTCACTGTATCATGATTTATCAGCTTAAGTCTCATCTGGAGATATATGAGGGATATGTTCCCATGGCCTATGGTGACTATTTGGAGAAGATGTCCAAGTATTTCCCTGCACCTTTTAATTGACCTGAACTTTCTTTTTTTTGAGTAAAACTTGACCTTTCTTTTGCTATCATGTGGATGAATGTAGGAGTGGTGAATGGGGTGATCACGTCACTTTGCAGGCTGCTGCAGATTTGGTATGCTGAATGATTTTATTTTTGCTTTTTTGTTTTTGAACCAGTTTATTACCATGATTTTTATAACTCTGAATATCAATTTTCTCTAGTGAGTCATTATATCTGGTTAGTTCTTTAAAGTTGTTTGTTGAAATGGCTTCTAGACTAGCAGTGGATAGTTTAAAGGATAAACTTTGGTCATATTTCCTTTTGCCAATTGTATGAAAATGGTTTCAGTAGAATTTTTTAAATTACTATGCTTGTAATGACAACCCCAATTGATGAAATTTTCAGTGGCAGGCACTACAACCTTATGAAGGGTTGGGACATGAATCTTAAGAACACGTGACTTAGCTTATAATAATTATATTGTGAATTATATAGAATGATAGAACCCCGACTTGTTAAACCACCAAGCAACACACAAACTACTCTATCCAATACCAGTTAAAACAATCAGCAAGCACAGGAATGAAAAAGAAATAGACTCTATATTGATATTAAGAACAGAACATTACATTCAGAGAATCATGTTCTATCATCTACCCAGCAACCTAACAGCAGAATGGAACAATTCTAAGTACAGCAAAAACAAAGATAAAGACTGAACTTTGAGGGTCAGTCACCTACCCTTCAAAACCTTAATCTTCTTTCTCAATGTTTTGCATTCTAGAATCCATTCTCATCACATGGAACCATAACAAAAGAAAGATTTGAACCCTCTATTAACATCATGGTCAAACCATTTTTCCTCCTTCCAAGGGTCTCAGTAGGGGTTTTATTGTTTCAAACTTATTGTTTTACTGAGATTGAACAATTATTAACGAGAGTGTTTGGCTTTTGTTGAGAACATAAAACTTACACAAGAAGGATATTAGTATTGCACAATGCTCATATCTTACTGGGGTTAATTGGGGTTCTGGATGCTATGGGAAGTTGCATATCAGGAGATTATCTCCTACTTGACGATGCAGTCCATGTGTGCCCAGTCTGATAATCTTGAACTCATGTCATGTTGTGAATAACAATTCAGCTTTCATGCTTGTGGTAAATATGACATTCTATACCCAGTGTATGTGCAGTACCCTAGTTCCATAGTATTTCAACTGCTTGTCAGTTGGATGAATTGTAATGTAAATATTATTTCTAAAAGCTATCAATTCTTGAATACGTCATTTATGTAAGGTGAAGCACACTTAAACCTAATATGCACCTATCAACATCCCAAATGACGTCACATCTAATTTGCTGGTGTTTGGTTAATTTACATTGGGTTGCCTAATACATGTTAATGATTTCTTGCAGTATGGTGTGAAAATATTTGTAATAACATCTTTCAAGGACACTTGCTATATTGAGATTCTCCCAAATGTTGACAGGTCAAATCGAGGTACATTTATGGGTTTATTGCTATAAATGTTTGATTAATTTGGTAAACTTTGTAGTACACAGGGATTGTTTGTTTTAGTTGTTGTTAATATTGTAAGTCATATCTCCTTTGTTGTACGTAGTATATAGCATTGTTAATCAGGATTTTGTTTTATGCTATAGATTTTAATTACTTTATAGTAATTGAGATTATCATTTTATTCACAATGAAATAGATGGAAAGGCAAACTGAGGCTAAAGCCTTGTATAAAACTTTACTTTTGAGTTTTAAACTGTAGGGTACTGTTTGCTCTTGATAATAAATCCTGAAAGGGCCAAAGGGTGTGCAACTGCAGAAAATTCCTGATATGCTCTCTGTTCTCATTTGATAGATAAGGTTATGTTGTTTTTTTTAATTTTATCCCTACTGCTGTGTCATGACTGGCCTTTTTGATTCTCTTGATCTATATTGACAATGATTGAAACCATATTGCACAGATGAAGGTAAGGCCCCTCTAAATTATTGAATGGGATAGTGTAGATTGAGGTCAATTTTATGTATTGGACCCTATTTACAGCTTCATAAAATGGATTCCATTTTAAGATTCATATGATGGTTGAGAAAACTTGTTATATAAAAATGTAAAAGCTAATCACTTTTTGTACTGCGATGGAGGGAAATTTCCCTGGAGAAAATGAGTGGGATGTTCACTATCATAAGTAAATGCATCACTATAATTGTAAGCATATCATGTTTCTTTGTAGAAACTTCCATATTTAACTAGAACTTCAGTTATGGATATCTTCTTTTGAGCTGGTCACTTGCTTTGAGCTTCAATTTCCTCCACAGTCAGCTTTTATTCTTCCTTTTCTTTTTCTCTCATTTTTATGTTTAGTACTCTTAATGTGGCTGATTAAAAGATTCATGAGCTGAAATCTGTTTTTAAAGGAATAGAAGGAATTTCTTTATTACACAATTTTACCATTGAGTTTCTCAATAGGAAATTGACGATAACTTTGTGTTATGTGTCCTGGGCAGTAATTTATCTGAGCTTTTGGGCTGAGGTGCACTACAACTCTATATGCCCACCAGAAGGTAAATATCCACACTTGTACTTCTGGACCATGTCTGGTGCTTTCTCTTTTACTCACATAAAGAAGGGATTGAGTTTCTCTGGACTTGAGTTGAGAAGTCCCAAGACTGTTTTTTGAGGTGCTAGAAGTGGTTGAGGTGTTGAAAACAGACAATTATCTGCAATTTCTTATTTATTTGACCTCAAAATTTTTGTTCGACATCGAATATAATTCAAATTTCAGGGGTAGGGAAGGGTGTTATTCAGTCACTAAGAGGCTATATGATTCTGACAAACTAGATGTTGTTTTTTCAGTCTTATGTTGCAGATTTTCTATCATCTGGAAAACATAACCACCATTGTAGTAATTAGAGCTTTGTCAAACAAGTTATTGAATTTCATCTTTCAAACCGATCCTAAACAAAATGAGACTAATTAGGATTATCCAGACAACCAGGTTTTGTGATGTGTTGCCTAGTTGTTTTGGTAACTTAGGATGAGTAGGTGACTACCTGGCTTGGTTCATTGCTTCTTCGGGTTCAATGTCATTAGTCATCACGGGCATGGTCAGCCCATTGAAACCATGTTAAATGTCTTTATCTTCCAGGATTATTTGACCATTTTCATCTAATTTGTAGTTTTTCAAAGATTAACAATGCTTCATATATGCCATTGCTTCTCCAGATGAGCCTGAATTTGAGACGAAGAAGAAGAAGAGGTGGCGATTGTTTCGAAACAAGCAATTGACATCACTAAATGAGTAACCTGATGGTAATGACGGACTTTATTCTCTTGAGTATTTAAGTTTGAAATGTTTGTATGTTGCTTTTACTAGAAGATGCAGCTTCCTCATAACTCCTTTAATCAGGTTCCATTCTATTTGGATTTTAAGGGCAGATACCATCACAAAGGTACAAATTTCTTCATGCTGCTGTATTTTGGCCTCATCTGTATATGTCCTTCCTTTAATGCAACACTAGTCTACATTCATATATAATAAGATTCTTTTTTTCTTTTTATTGTAGACTGGCAATCTGTTGTTCTTGGAGCCACACTAGGTTGTTCTGTTGCTTTTCCAAATTTTTTCCCATAAAACTCCGCTGTTTGTGCTCAATTGTTTTGAAATTGATATACAAATTTTGCTCTCATATGCTCCTTTGGAAGCATTTAGGCAATTGATGAGGCGTGAGCCAGTATGATTTGAAATTAGCAAACCATTGTTAACTTTCTTCAGAAAGCTGAATCTCAGTTGCATGGTTCTTTTCAGTAAAGGTATGATTTTATGCAAAAGAATTATTATTATTATTTTTTTTAAATTGTGGCTTGATAAGATATCAACTGAAGATTTTATTGTGTCTCTCCTATTTAAACACCAAGTTGGAGATTACTTCATTAGGAGAGTTTATTGAATGTGGTTTTATCTTGTACCATTTTATTCAAAAAAAAAAGCTTGTTATAATATGTTTTCCGATCTAATTATGTGACAACCGGGATGTTATATCTACTTTTAAGAGCAAGACTGTTAAGAGATTAGATTATGAATATCTCTTGAACTTAACTTGACCTTAATATAATACAAGATTGCGAGTGCATATTGTTGATAAAATCCAATCACTATTAAACTCCTTAAAATCCATGGAATTATAAATATATCTAATTATTAGTCTTAATCTAGGGTACAAAAATTGTAGAATTGGGCTCTAGAAAAATTATAAAAATACTGTTTGTGAATATTTTAAATCATCTATAAGCTGTTTCTGAGTTCAAGTGTAAATTCATATTACTTCTATATTAAATGTAAATTACAACATGATCGGTTCTCAAGAAAATATAAGTTCAGGTAATTTTATCGTCTCTAAAAGGGGAAATAATATTCTATACAACCTCAAGTTTTATCGAAATTACTATAGATTAAAAAATCTTTTAAAATCATCAAAATTAACTTAAACATCTCTTATGTTAATTTAATAATTTCTATCCAATTAAATTACTCGTAGAAATCAGTTTTGAGAGATTCTTTGCAATAACGAATGTTGGTACAATCATTCATATGGTGCATGTATGTCACACGCATTGACGTGATACTTCCTAATTGGTTGCGTTAACATAACATTCAAAGGTTGGTTGTGCCAACACCCGTTGTATAGGAGATTTTTTTTATCAGGCATCAATTGTTTTCACCTTTTATTTTTGTTCTTATTGGATCCTTTCTTTCTTTTATTATAATTTTGTTATTATATGGCAGTTATATTTCGTTACAATTCGTTATTTTCTTTGTGACTGAAATATTTGTCTTCTTCGAAATCACAATAATTACAGATACGTTTGTTTTAGTATTTTAGATGGTATTTTAAAAAAAGTAAGAGTTAAATGGTAATAACGAAGTAAGATTTAAAAATTAACAAAAACACCCTCTAGGTTTGTTAATTTATTAAACACCCCTATATTAAAAACATTAAAAATTACAAAAAACACCCCTATCCACCCATTAAATATCGGCAACAGGCCATCTTCAGGTGGTGGTGATCGGAATCTGGCAAATGTGGATGGTGAAGGTGTTTTTGTCCATTTTTAAACTTTTTTTTAGGGGTATTTAGTTAAATTAACAAACTTAAGGGATTTAAAATAATTGAATATAATATAATATAATAATATTTTCAGAATAGTGAAACAAATGTATATTTTAGAAATGATACGAATAAGATAGGGAAAAAATAGGAAACAAATGCCTACTTCTTTCTATATATATATATTTTGAAACACGTGTGAGCAAATCAAAGTATCGTTTATCCGTACATTTCAAAGTTATAATGATCGTTATAATTCGTTATTCTATTTTTAGAAATTATATTTTCAAAAAAATAAATGAATCAAATATAGTTATAAGCTTCACGGTTCACGCATTATGCATTTTAATTCATTTATGTTTAAGATCTATTTATTTGTTATATTTCTAAATTTTATATTTGTTAATCACAAATCATTATTTATTCAAGTAAAAGCCTAGATCAAGAGAGAATCTTGCTTCCTCGCACCCAGGAATTGTCAATGTTTTTCTCTTTGTGTTGTCACCAGTTGAGACAGTATTTTGACATTAATCCAAACTTTATTACTTAGTAGTTAAATAAATTTTCTGAAATAAATTATATATAAGTTTGAGGCATAGTTATTAGTATCTTATGATATGTGATACGTATTCTACGATACGATTCGATATGAGTCGCCAACAATACGTATTAAAGAGTATATCCTAAAATTTTCGATACATTGATATATATCCTATAATACGATACATATCTGTTTGTATCCTTAAAAATATTTATATAAATGCATACGATTTTATTAATTTGGGTCGAAGGCCCAAAATTTTTTTTGGGTCAGATCCGGGTCACCCAACTCAGTTTACTAAAACCTACCCAAATTTACCCATTTTGCATGGAGAAAGTGAAGAGGAAAATGTATTGCCCATTTTGTATGATAATAATAACATAAGTGGAGATATGAATGGTTGAGAGGAAATGATATAGATTCTTAATTTTGATTATGTGATACCATAATTTAAAGTCAATAATACCACAAAATTCGTTAATTAATCTTGGGGATGATATTAATTTTTAAAATTTTTTTATTATTTTATTAATAATTTTGAAAAAGGGTATCCTACGATATAATACGATACGCGATACACGATTCAAAAAATTAGGTTTTCGATATATAATACAATATACGATTTGACAACCATAGTTTGAAGTACTTATAAAGTCACAATTAAAGAGAGTAAGGTCTATATATTTGAAGTATAAAATTGTCACAATTGAAAAAAATTATGAAGATGGAGAGAAAAAGTTTAGTTTGGCTAGAATCTTAACAATGTTCGTTGATAGGCCACCCGTTAATAAGAAGTATATCATGCAAGGAAGGAGGACGTTGGGTGTGAATAAGGGCGGTAGAAATTAGTGGCAATGGAAATTAGTTAAGCTAGAGTACACGTGTCCAAGATTGAGTGGCTTAGCTTGTGAAGGACAATTATTATTTTGTTTAGGGAATTATCGGTGGGAGGTCGCTAGCTCCTCAAACTGCTAGCACTCTGTTTCCTTTCATCCTATTGCTTCTATATTGTTGTATTGTCCCTTTAAATTCAATGCAAGTATTTGGATTATTCTTATTAATTTGTGATTGATGAACTGTTTGTTTGGGTGAACTTTGATTGGAATTGTTTCATTGAGTGAGGTCTGTATCAATTGGTATCAGAGCCTCGTTGGGGTATGGTAAAAACAAAATGGAGAACAGAATGGATGGTGTAGAAAAAGAGATGGGTATGTTAAAAAAAGATATGAGTGTTGTGAGGGAAGATCTGGGAAATCTCAAAGAGGACATGGGAAGTCTGAAGGGATATCTTCTTGAGCTCAGGGAGTGGATGAGATTGAAGGATGAAAGGGAAATCAATCGTAGTAGTGAAAAAAACAAGGGAACAATTTCGGGAAACGTAGGAGGGGAAAGTAGTAGAGATCAGAATCGATCTGGGGAAGAAAAGGGCATTAGAGACGAAAGGAGAATCAAGAAGTTGGAGTTACCGGTGTTTAATGGGGAGGACCCGTATGGTTGGACATTCAAAGCTGATAGCTATTTCGCCATCAATCGATATGGGGAGGAGAAAAAGACGGAGGCCACCGCCATATGTATGGAGGGTTGAGCCTTAAACTGGTATCAGTGGATGGATTCACGTTCACCAATATTGTCCTAGGCATCCTTCAAATCAGCAATCATCGATAGGTTTCGTCCATCCTTTAAAGGGTCAACCTTTGAAGCTCTAGTGGCGCTAAGGTAGATAGGAACTGTGACAGAATTCCGTGAGCAATGTGAAGCTCACGTTGCATAATTGAAGGAGGTAGGAGATGAGTTACTCATGGGCATTTTCTCCAATGGGCTTAAAGAAGAGATTAAAGCTGATCTTAGGTTGACTAAGCCCACAAACTTACATGATTTAATGGAACAGGCGCATAGAGTGGAGGAGAGGAATTGGGTTTTGGAAAAGGGTCGGGGAAAGTTTAATTAGGCATTTTATGGCAAGATGGACTCTTACAACCAGGTCAACCCAAGCCCAGATCCATGGCGCCCAAATTGGGGAAGCAGTCCAACAAAAATCCAGAATTGGGGCATTTCACGCCTACTCGCCAATTTGACCGTAAAGAGAGAACATCTGAAACTCTGATGACAAGCTTCCGTGGGGAAAATTTTCAGCGATTGACAGAGGCTGAAATACAGAGCAAGAGGGAAAGAGGGCTTTGCTTTAGGTGCAAGGAGAAATTTGGCCATAATGATCGATGTAAGAGCAAGTCTCAGCAAGTTCTCTTTGCATGGGAGGATGATGAACCAGAACAGGAAAGAGTCGACACCCAATGCCGACGAAGAGATTAATCTGGAAGGTAACCCTTTAGCTCTTTCAATGAACTCGATTGTAGGGATTACTTCGGATAAAACTTTGAAAGTTAAAGGCCTCGTCGGAAAAGAGGAGGTCATTGTGTTGGTTGATAGCGGTGCTTCGCACAACTTCATTTCACATGAGTTGCTACGTAAGTTTGAATTTGGGGGGGGGGGGCGCGGGCGTGTTGGGGGTGGGGCCTTAGACCCAAGAGTAGCTAAAGTTTAGAGGAGTTCAAAGATTTGTTCGATCAACCCACTAAGTTACCACCCAAAAGAGCTCATGATCATGCCATAGTCCTTAAAGAAGGCGCTCAACCACCTAACATCAAACCATACCGGTACCCATTCTTCCCAAAAAAGGAGATCGAGAGGTTGGTGAAAGACATGTTGGCGTGTAACGCCCACATGGAGGTATATAATTTAATTTATGCTCTTACACCTTTAGTTGATTTTTGTTAAAGTTATTTTGAGAAAATGTGAAGAAAATGCCTTAAACTTGCATTAAGGGTAAAATGGTCTTTTCACTCAAAATTAGTTGAAAAAGTGGAAAGTGAAAAGAGATAGAATTTCATGGAGAATGCTATAAATATGAGGGCATTATGGTAATCGATTAAGGGACATAGATGAAATTTTAAAGAAAGTGCAAGTGCAAAATGGGAAAATACATATGTATTTTTATGTTATATCAAATTGAAGAGTGAAACCTTAGCCACTCTCACCCATTTTCATGCCCATATTCTCTCAAGATCTTCAATTTTTCTTCAAAGGAAATTCATAGATTTTTGGGTACATTTGAGTGAATTTTCAATCCCAAACATCTTTAAGTAAGATCCTTGCACTAAGAAGTGAGTTTTAATTTTTAAAATGTTGAATTTTGATGATTTATGTTCATAGGATTTAAGAGAAAGAGAGTTGGATCAAAGAAGGTTTTCAAAGTGTTGGATTGCTCTTATATAAGGTAAGTAAATCCTACCCTAAGTATGATTTAAGTTATGGTGTAGAGAATTTTTTTTATGCACACATATGTCTTATATGTAGA